GAGCAGACTATGAGTGCGGCAGCCTCATGTATTTTCCTTCCCCCCCCCCCCCCCCAGCACGGCGCGCCGTGGACTGCTTGGCAGGGTCGGGTATTCGGGAGCCGAGAGTTGAGATCTCTCTTCTACTGCTCACCCTCTCACCCTTACCGACCTCGCCCCATCCTTCGAGTTCTGCCTGTGATTCATTATATGCATACCTCACTGATCGTGTAATAAGTTTTGTAATTTGTTTTTCTTGTACTTTTCGTACCTTTCCCCCACCTTTCATGATAATCGATGATTTGACGACTTGTTTTTGTTCTTCTTAATTTTACTCCATCTGTAATCTGTTCTCTCCCTAGCGTGTACACGTGCATATGTAGCATATGTACGAAATGAGAAAAAGGCAATGAAAATGGAATGTTTTTCAAATGATGATGCTCTATTTACTTTTTTTGTACCTTTAACACAACACTCATTCAAACAGACATGTCGTCAAGTGTGGAAGGCGATGATGGAAATCTTTCGTTAGACTCCATCTTCATTGTAAATTTTTTCTTCATAAAAAGGTCTTATTAATACCTAAAAATAAAACAGGAACCTCCCCGTCCTCCATCACCCGAACCGACCATCGCGGTGTATCACAACGTCAACATCACATTTCAAACGACAACAACAACAACAACAACAACAGGAACAGAAGACGTCAAAAATCCGAATTTAGATTTAGATTTAGGTCATTCACGACAACAATCATCTACGTCTACGCATTGGAAGACGATCGTTGTACGACTCATAGGGAGTCATCCACTATGGGGTCACTACCTGTACGTTGTCTTTTTACGTCTTTTTTTCGTATCTCGGTTGGGGGTTGGTGATGGGGAGGGAAGAGAACTGTACCTGCCCCCCTCCCCCCCTCCCCCTTCCTAAGAACAAGAAGGAAAAAAAAAACTGACTTCTGGGGGGGGTTTTTTTTTTTGCGCCACGCCACAACGTGTCTAGTTGGAACGCCTCACGATCGTTGGCAACATATCTTCAACGCGCGCCTGAATTGTACGATGGTCGTACCGTCCTCGAATTGGGAGCTGGAGGTGGTCTGCCTAGTTTAGTCGTTGCGAAGTGTGGTGCTCGTAAGGTACCTACCTATCTACTCGTTAACCCCCTTCTCTCTTCACGTTCCCTTCCCTTGCCCCTGCTAATTTGGCAACGTCTATTAATTTTTTGGATTTTATTTTTTTTAGGTGGTACTCACGGATTACCCCGATAAAGCCCTCGTCGATAATATGATTCATAACGTTGAGCGGAACGTCGAGCCTGAACGAAGAGACTCGATTCATGTTCTTGGGTATATATGGGGACGTCCTGTCGAACCTCTTCTTCTGGCAGTAGGGGAACTCGTGAAAGATACGGATACGGTCACGCCGGGATCTGAATCAGGATTAGGATCAGGATCAGGATCAGGCGCAGGCGCAGGCGGCGGATTCGATTTGATCCTCCTCTCGGATCTCATCTTTAATCATTCGCAGGTACGTTCTTCTTTTCCCCCCCTCCACCTCCACCTCCACCTCCATTCCCCTACGGGGTGGGATGAAATATATTATTGATATAATAACGACGCCCAATCGTCTTTGGGGGGGTTTTTTTTTTTTTTCAAAAATATAAATATAATATGTAATAATAATAAATACAATCATTATATAGCATCGCGCGCTGCTCACCACTTGCGAGGGCGCCATCGCTCCAGATGGATGCGTACTCGTCTTTTACACCCACCACAGACCTCACCTGGCCCAACGGGATATGGAATTTTTCGAGCTGGCCAATGAGACGGGATGGAAATGCGAAAAAGTGTGGACGGAACGGTTCCCGGTACGATTTGGATCCTCACAAACCCTCCCCCAGTAATTAATTCATTCATTTAAGCCTATGTTTCCGGAAGATTCGGGTGAGGAAGAGATACGGTCCACTGTGCATGGGTGGAAGGTCACGCGAGGAAGGGACGTAGTTTAATGTGTGAGTATGAGTAGAGAGTTAGAATTTATCCCCAGCGGATACAAGGCACGTGATTAGTAGGTTACCGTGACCTCCCGATGCGATGGGTGCTTTGGTGCTTTGGAGAACTGTACGACGAACGACAAACTATTCATATCACACACGGCTCTCACTTCTCCACCTTCTTCCTCTCCCTCTCGTCTCTAATGGCTTCTAGCGTCGTATTGCGTCAATCTCTAGCAGCAACCAAACGTCCCCTCTTTCCCCTCCAACTCGGTACGTTCCCCTCTTCACTCCCTTCCCCTCATTTCCCTCTCAATCGGACTTTTATCAAAACAAACGAAACACTCATAATCACATTCAAAAACATACCCGCACCGCATCATACACAACATACACATACACACACACAGCGCAGCGTGCAACTTCCAACTTTGCCTATGTTCCTGGTGGTCGTACGTCTTTTCTCTCTTTTTCTTTCCCAGAATTTATGATGTGGTTACAAAAAAAAAAATTCTTTTTTTTTTCTATTAAATCCTCTACCCATTTTCTCCCCTTTTCTTTCACGGTGGGCCGTGCGTTGTGTGGTCAGCGATCTACAAGGGTACGGTGAACGATCCGACCACCTTCCCACCTCCATCCAAATCACACGGTTCGCACCATTGGTCTTTCGAGCGTCTCCTCTCAGCGGGGCTCGTCCCGCTCACGGCAGCTGCCTTCGTATCCTCCGGTTCTCCCACACCGCTCATTGACGGTCTGCTCGGCCTCAGCCTCATCGTACATAGCCATATCGGGGTGCGCCCTTTCCCTCCTCCTCCCCCCCCCCTCTTCCCCCCTCGCCCTTCCCCAGATTTTGAACTTACGCCTTTTTCTTTTTAATTAAACAACACACACACACACACACAAAGTTTGACGCCCTTTTGGTGGATTACGTTCACAAGCGCAAGTTCCCCAAGTTGGGTCCACTGCTCTCTTGGACTTTGCGCGCGACGACGCTCGCCGTCGGCGTTGGCGTGTATCAATTCAACACGAATGATGTCGGTACGTGTTTGTGTGTTTCCATACATACACCCGTGCAAATGGCACGTTTTCCCCTTCTTTTATACATTGGCTGATCCTCTCTCTCTCTCTCTTTCGCATTGTCATACAGGTCTGACAGAACTCATCCGTCGCGTCTGGACTGCTTAGGTTGAAAGGCGAGGAAAGGTTTTCTCCCTATCTCATTGGCGTGTACTAGAACCTCAGTTACCAACAACACAAAGTTTTGGTTTTGGTTATTGTTCTGAAATTTAAAAAAATGAAAATGAAAATGAACAATTGTCAAATCTCTCATTGTGCATATGAATAAAAGCCTCAGTAGTTTGTCATGAATCAATCATCACATATCATATTATTGACTGGTACCATATTAACTAGTATGGGGGTGCGTATGGTAGTACAAGAAGACATCATATACAGCTACATGTCACATGCCTTTCGCGCTTTCATCATATCTTTGCAGTTTTCAACCTTCCCTGGGGACCCGTTATTCATACAGTAATTAGAGTTTTTGTAAGTGGAAAAAAAAAATAAAAGTCATTCTTTGTCGTCAATAATTTGGTCTGCAATGTGCACCCAAGAGCGTTCGAGCTTGGGATAGCCCACAACCCCTAATTGATTTTGTGGGGAAGCTCTGAGCGGCCCGGTGAGGGGTGAAGAGGGATTAGGGACTTATGCAATGCCAGCACCTAACGGCAGCACGGACGCTTCACCGACCAAGACAGAGAAAAAAAAAAAAATCAATAAAATAACAACAACAGGACCTATTCAACGTCGAGAGGGGATACTCACAAAGATGTGTGAGCACACGCTCCAGTAGTTGTGGTGCGGACAAGAGCATCGTGATCTCGGCTAGGACTTGAAGGATGAAAGAGTAGAGAACCATGATGGATGGTATATGATGACAATGATGACGGTAACGTGTCGTGATGAGGAAGAGTCCTGGCGTCAGTTTGGGCCGATAGTTTGTTTGTTTGATTGAAGTTGAGGGTTTTTGTTTGGGATTTGAGAACGATGGGGGGGAGGAAAGAGAAAGAAAGATTGATATGTATTTGTTGGTTGAATATAATGGTTTATGTGTTTTTTTGGGTATCACCTGGCTAGGGGCTGGCTAGGGTTCGCTCTTGGCCCAATCCAACTTGAAGTCAAAACGGAGTTGGGGTGGTGCCCTACAGAGATTTCTTATTCCTCGGTCTTGAGTTGTCTGGGCCCGGAGTCTTACTTCCAAGGTGACTTGACTTGGTCATTCAATGGACCGTATATGGAATTGCCGCAGGGGTACTGAATTGTATGATGTAATTTAATATATCATGAATCATCGTCAGCAACTTAACAAACTCCGAGATCCGAATCCGAAGTTCGCCGTACTTTGGCTCTCCACTCCAAAATTCATTCACATTCATTCATTCGCCTTCCTTGCGACGGGCTTTTGCTTTTGTTTCATCCATCCATCAGGCGGAAGGTATTCCTTCCCAAAAAACATAGTCTTGTAACTTGTATTTAAATACATGTCGCGGGCGGTTTGTACGTACACGTACGTACACAAAATGCCCCCACCGGACTTTTCTTTTCGTCTTCGCTATTGAGTGAGAGTGGGCGGTGTGATGCATGGAATTCCGAACACCGACCCAACCGTTTCGCTTTTTTTTTTTTCTCTTATAATTCTGATGACTTGACTTTGGGGCCGAAGGTGAAAAGACAAAGTGCGTGCTCCCCGGGGGGTTTGAATTCACGGCTCAAAGATATCAGAGTGAGGTCATCGCACGTTGCCTTTGAATGAAAAACAACATATACAGTTTAAAGGGATGCGTTCCTTACTCTCTCTCTCTCGGGTGATGGTTGAAAATACTTACAGTCCTTGGTCCTGATTGACCCGTCCGTGAAATGAATGGAGAATAAAATGAACGGAATAAAATGAACGGAATGCAGCATTGTGGAACGTTTAATGTGACTTCTAACTCTGTCGTTAACAAGAGGTAGTACTTTTGTGGGCCTGCTTAGCTCAGTGGTAGAGCGCGTCACTTGTACGTCTAAGTGATAAATTCACATGATCTGCATGACGAGGTCAGTCGTTCAAACCGGCTAGTTGGCATTTTATTTTATTTCCTTTTATTTATTATTTTTATTGTCGTCAGTCACTGATCAGGATCTACCTTCATCCGACTTTGATGATATCATGCTGCTTTGTTCTTTCTCTTTGAGAGTGTAATAAATCGGAGCATCAAAGATCACAGCCGAATTAACTGCGGGGCGTGGTGCTGTTAGTGATCTCACATCATACAATACATTCGTTCATCCTGCACGGTTAGGATAGCTACAATGGATGTTGATGTGCCTCTTTACAATAATACCCATACGTACGATCGATTCTTGTTTGTTTGATCTCTGTTTATCCAATGCGATGATTCCTGCGCACTCGGGTGTGTAGGTTGAAGGGTATAAAGTAAAAAGAAAAGCAATATGACTTTTGACGGTGTCCTTTATCTACAATACAAATTGCATCAGAGATCAGAGATTATGCTAACATATACAGTGTTTGTGCAACCGCCGATCGACTTTGAATCCCCCAACCAACCACGACGGCTGCACCCCCCCCCCCAATCCCCCCCAGGGCAATTATGATGCTTGTGGTCCAGTATTGGAACAAGGAACGGCCACCGCTGGAACGTTAACCTCGTCGCCCAAAAAGTTCAGACAACCAGCTCCACAACCACGCCACAAGACGGGTACCCCACCGGTCGTCTCGCCAACCCGCAGGCCAGCGAGTTCGGTCACCCAGGTATATCGTTCCTCAGCGGGCACGACGAATGGCGGGCCAATGCGCGCCCATGGCCAAGCTGCTCCAACAATAACAGGGTCTGCACAACGATGTTTCGGGGACGGACAGCGCCCAAAGCTCTTATGCTCCTGAGTAGCAGAGGTAGAGGCAGAGGTAGTAAATGCGACTGCATCTCCAGGTCCACGGCTAGCGCGAAACACACGCTCCCTTTCCCGTTGGGGCTTGGGCAGTTTAGAAGAAGAGAAAATGCCTGCGCTTGCGCTCGACGTCGTCGCGCGCGAAAAGGCGTGTCGGCGTGGGGCGGACACCGCGCCGGGTGCGACGCGTGCAAAGAGCGCTGCGTCGGCTGGGGTAAGCGTCCCGTCCTGGAGAGGGAGTTGGAAACGATCCTCCAGAGTTGTGGGCTGTTGCGCGCGCGTGACTGTGTTAACCATCGCTGCCGGCATCAGTGCCGTTAAGCGCTGTTGGTTGTTCGCTGAGGAAGGCGTGAGGAGGTACCGAAGGACGACTTCGCGCAGTGGTGGCACGCGAAACTGCGCTCGTGTCGAGCCATCCACTACTTTGGGGGTGTCTCGCGTGGTGGGGTTGGCCGGGTCTGGGTACCATGGATTTGTGTGGATGTTGAGATTTGTGAGAGTCATGGTGGTCATTTCAGCGGGGAGAAAACGTAAATTGTTGTTGACCACATCGAGGTCCTTGAGTGCATGTAATTGCGCGATTTCTGGAGGAAGGCACTCGAGGCTGTTATTCCCTGCCCTCAGGGAATCAGTACATCCCAACCAACAAAGGGAGGAGGTTGGAAAGCGACCACGCACTGAGAGAGAGCACTGTGAGATTACTCAAGCTGAAAAACTCCAGAGGAAGGGTTCTGATCTCATTATTTGCAAGAAAGATCATGAGACCCTGAGATCGGGTCCGGGCGGGGACGATGGGATGTGCGAAGAATGACCTGTGTGAAGACGAGAACACGGCTGGGGGAGCCGTCTGTACACGCTTGAAAGGACGCTGAGCTGGTTCGGAGACGACGCCGAGGCTGTTGAGTTCCACAATAGATGGAGGCACAAAGGTAAGGCCTGCGTCTCTAAGTGCCCGGTGAATGCTCGCACGACTTTTGTACGACAAGGATGGAATCAAACGTACTTCCAGGTAAATTCACTATCGCCCATGTCGACTGCTCGTGTGATCTTCTCTTCCCATAACGTCGCCTCGTCTGGAGGCTCTACCTCGAAATCTGACATCAAGAAATTATCTTCTTCGTCAAATAAAATTTCAAGCGTCTTCGTGCGATCCGCCGAGAACGAGATATTGGACCTATATTCCCAGGCGGCAGGGGCAGGTGACGAGTTGGAGTAACGAAGCTCGTTAGAAGGATGTGTCGTAGCGTGTGTGGAGCCAGCAAAAGGATGGCTTATCCCCAGTGGCGTGGTTGGACGGTCCAAATCAAGGGGCTGCAGGGATGGAGAGGCGAGAGGGGACGAATCCATGAAGGAAGAAGCGGTCGGAGAGCCTCCTGGAGAAGACGAGGGCGACATGTATGCGCGGTCCTCTGGGCTGATGAAAGACATTTTTTGATTTTAATTTGTGAATACAGAAGTTGTTGAAGGCCCCACTGTCGAGGTACGTTGGAGGATGTCGATTGTTAGGATTAGAGTGTACCTACATACTTGAGTACTTGAGTACATAATTAGAGACTTCTTTCATTCAACGAACGATGACACGAAGACCATCAAAGTATCACGGGACCGTGGTCGCGTTAATCACGTGCATGGACATGACTAAACTACCCCCAACGCCCACTCACCCTTAGTGCTAGTGTTCTGTTCTTCTTTTTTCCTTTCCTTCAATGGTGGTGGTGGATACAACTCTCTCGCTGCGCTGTCGCAATATTTCTACTAATGCCTCTAAGGAGAAATGTCCGGATTATGATACCCCCGTTTGTTACTAGTACTGGCGCTGGGATTATGGCTCCAGACTGATCTCGAGCTTGTGCGAGCGGTCCGGATGCACCAAGGACAATTCTCGCCCGTTCCATAGCCGATTGAAACGCTCTAGCCGCAGCTCTCTATGCCAATGATCAATGTGGATCAGAACGACGCTATTGCCAAGTGTGAGAAACGCACATACATACATATATATATATATGCTATGGTTGCACAAACATTGGCCTGAAGATCTTCACCGGTTTTTTGCTGCACGTTCACAGTGATGAACAGTCTTATGGCTCGCCGCCCGACTCAGTCTCTTCAGAGATTCGGGCCACTTCATCGTAAAGTGCAAAGAGCACTCATTCACAGTGGTTCTGGGAGCAAACCATATTCTGTACTATCGTTCTTTCCAAGATTACAATGTCGAAAAGCTGACGTCTTTTTCCCCTAACAAACAAAAAAGGGCATCCCCTTCAAATATGACAATAAGAGCACTCTCAGACTGAAATTCGTCCTTTTCTTTGGCGGTGGACTCGCCCTTCCCTTCGTCGCTTCGTGGTGGCAGCTGTGAGTCTTCGCACTCTTGTCAAGACCATTGTTCACTGATCGGGCACACGCTTGTAGTCGGAAAGGAGCAGGCAGTGGGTGATAGGAAATTCAAAAATGTACATTTCAGCGGGAGGATCTCGGGTACTTATAAGCTCTCGAAAACACAACAGCGTGACACCAATACCGTATCTACAGACTTGGAATACCCGGCCCTCTAGATAACATATTTCCAAAATACAGCACGCTTGACCGGGGATGTGATGGGAAGAGATCAAAGATTGGGCTCGACACAAATTGGATCAATTGGAAGCACGTAAGGGGTCATACCGAACCCAATTTCCCAACCCAATCATTACTTTCTTCTCTTATCTTCCTTGGCATCCCAGCATTGAAAAGACGTGCTACCAGGTGTTACCTTTGGCCGTGTTTAAGAGGTACGCAACGCTGAGGCCGTGGGTTTTCCCCGCCCCTAAAGTGAGTGTTTCCACCGTGAGATTCGTTTACTGCACCGCGCGATTCGGGATTGAGTGACGCGAGGATTTTTCTCGTGCCTTTCCGCCTCGACGTGCAGAGCCTCAAGCTCCACCCCAGCGTGTCTTGTGTATGGATGCACATGAGTTTGATCAACATTTTTGTGTGACAAACCCTTCCAGATATGGCACTGCACAGCACCACGCCCGACGTGCCGTTGTTCTCGATCTCCTCAGGAGGGCGCGTTTTTGTTGTGGCAATGCGCGCAAAGGGAACCTCGAGGTCGCCCAGAGTGCCGTTGGTGTGCCACTTCGCCTCATGCTACCTACCGACGATAAAAGTACCCCGAAATTCTTAGGATGACGCATATTATGTACGTGTCAAAACTTCAAAACCTCCCCACAATCCTCAAGCGAAACCCCGACTCGACCAAGGCGGAAAAAAGGTGCTCCACTTGACGCTTTCTCTCATGCACCAGTGTAGGAACGCAGCTGAGGTTAGATAAGCGCTACCTAAACGTAGCAAGATAATTCAGTTGTGAATGGTCAAAATTGAAGTGTACAACACAGAAATAATGTCATAAAGAGCGTGCTGTGCTATGGTCATAAAGATTGTATCTTTAATCATAACAAATGAGTGGAATGTCAGTAAGTATATTACAATGTCCGCTTAAGTCCGTCTTGCACCGGCAACTCCGGTCACCTCTGATCCGGTCTGGCTTACTCCCAAGAAGAAGGTTTCGCGACTTCGGATGCGTTGTTGGGTAATGTGATAGTCGAGTTCGAGCTCGAGGGATTGGAATCACAAAGGGTGGTTAGTTGTATTCCTTACAAACCCTATAATCAATCATGATGGCTCTAGGCGGAGTCCGACTGCGAAATTTCGCATGATCTGGGGAGAACTAAAGCGGTTTTACTATTATTGTATTCTATTCATATCGTCAAGTCATACTTTCTGAAGTTGAGGCCCATACCTCGATCTCAACAGTTTTCAGGTTGGCTGAACATCCACACCTTCCCGCCAGCGGGCCAATCTCACCGCACGCTCCTTCTGCATCCGTTCTCTCTCCTCCTCCTCTTTTTGCAAGTATCTTCTAAGCTCTTCGCTCCATATCGGATCGTCGTGTGCCAACATCATGAGCTGATCTAGCATAGTAGCATCGGGGCCCTCTGCATCCTCATCGACACCTTCGAGAACCAGGAGACCGTGGGATGACTTGACAGAGAATTGCTCTAGCCCCGCCCCAGCTGCCTCCTCTCCCCCCCTATCACTGATAATGGTTGGGGAGCTGTTTGTTGACATTACTCCGGAAGCCGTCTGTCCTCCCCCGTCTCTAGTTCGTCCATGTTGAGGGTTGGGGCTTCCTTG